TCTCGATTCGTAGGATCGAATACGTCATTTACGATTTTTCGGGGGAAAATAAACTGTATTCCGTTAAATTCTTTCCGTGGACGGGGACATATAGATAGCAAGGGCACCAAAACCTCGGATCTCAAAATATTGAGGTGCTTGAATATGTCCGCTCTTTTTATTTTTTCAAAATAATACGCATTTTTGTACAAAATTGCGCCAAAGAATATTGTTAAAAAAACGAAGGAAAATCAAACAAAATTTTGTGCAAAAACAATAATCAAGACATCATCTGCAGAAAAATAAAATAGGACAGAAAGTCAAGGTCGAAAATCGAGATCCGTTGTGTTAATAATTTCACCATCGATATGATCAATTTTATTTTACTTTATAATAGACTATAGCATGATAGGCGTGGGCGTAGTGCGTGATAGGTGTTTTTAAATGTGTGTTGGATTAGTTTGGAATGAAAGAAATGAGATATATTTGATTTTGTCCTCAAAAGAAAAAATAGAACCTACTTTAGAGTACCATGGGTTTGAAATCAATCGTATAGCAAACGCAAACGCAACAAAGATCCTAAAATGCAAGAAGCTTGAGGACCATTCCTTTGGTCCGAAACGAAATCAAATACCTACGTTTTCTGGGATAAAAAGGAGAAGAGGACCCATTCTCCTCTTCTCAAATGGAGTGCATTGATAAACTTGATAACCCCTGCTAAACGAAGGTAATCTGGTTTAAAGCCGACGGCGAGGGTTCACGTTCATGAGACGGGAAACTAAAGAGGGTGATTCCATCGACAGCATTATCAATTCATGGAGGAATTCCCGAATTTCAGATCGAAACCAGTCTACGAGGAAAAATTGGCACGCAAAAATGGACAACGCTGATCGCTAGTTAGCCAGAGATTTAACGACAATAAGCCACGTCACGCTAGTGCGGAGCCCATCAATCGTTTTGATTTTCAATTGTTGCGACCGCGACGCCAACAACGTTACCGATTTTCCATCAAAATGTCTCAATTTCACACCGATCTTCGTTGAAAAATTGAATGATTGTCAACGATCTGGCTGTGGTGCTCACAGAATAACAACCCCGATCGATGTAGTTACAACTGGGATTAAAGCTCGAGCTAACTTTGCCAATTCGTGGAGAATTCATCAACTTGATTCTTACGCATAATGTCGCACAGTCGAGTGATTAGCTTGCCAAATTTTGCAACACTGAGCGTGGCTTTCCGGATCATGAGCCAGTTATCTTGTGGCTGTGTTTTTACAGCGTCAGCTTAATTGGATCTGTTGGTGAAAAAAAACAGCCTCGAAAAGTTACGCCCCGGTTTACGCCTCCGTTTGAAAGCTGAGCGAAAAAAAGCCTCCGATTTTATTTACGGACGTTTTTACTCGGTTTTCTATGTTTTTTTAAGCTTAGATTATCGTGCAAACTAATTTAGCATAGCGTAAGCGTGATTCTATTGGAGAATATTGGTATGCACGAACCGACAGAATTTAATTTCGTGCTGTTTGCGTAAGAGAGCCCCCAAATTTTCCTCGAAATTGATAGAATCAGGAAAAAAGTTTTTCTGACGAGTAATATGTTGAATAGCTGAGAAACAAAATATTGGCTACAGCTTGGAAATAATATAGTTTTCTCTTCATCTTGTTTTGTATGATATAATCTACTTTTTACGACCAACACGTAAAGAGTTTAGCCAATGTTTAACCCTATATGGGATAGACCTACTTGAAACTTGAAGGAGAGTTATTTTATTGGTGTTCAATGTACCAACAAACAGGGTATAATTATAAAATCGCAAGACCTGTACCCTCATTGAAATTTTACGCAGTTTCATCCATTGATTAAATCAAATTGAATGGAATGTGTTGAAATTTTAACCGAATTTTCTTGATAATTTTGCGATGCTGAAAACGGAAAATTTCAGAAAATTCGTTGATTCCTATCTCATAAATATAGATTAGCCTTGAAGATTTTAAGACACCGCAACCAAGCACTGCCCTCACCGCACCCAACGCCTCAATTATTCTTTTTTTTTTGGTTTTATACTTCTGACCCTGGTAAAAATTGGCGATAGGAGCTGCGTTTCAAAATACCATAGGAGTTCTTATAGCCGACTAAAGAGGACAATAGAAAATCATGTAGCTGGCTGTAGAAAGTGGAGAAAATCCTACGGCCGGGCTACAGGAAGCGATAAAAAAATATATAGCCGGGCTATAGTTCCTATCGCCGGGCTATTACACTTTATCGCCTGGCTGTTGCTTTTTCGCTATCGGCTATAAAAGGCTATAAGAAATTGTGTAGAAATTTATGTACTGTGTAAATACATAAGTTTGTACGGAATCACCTTAATATTTACATAACGTACATTATATTTTCCTTTACTACATATTTTTTTTTCATCAATTAAAATGAGAATAATCCATATGTACAGAGTGTGCAAACATTTCAAAGTCATGAGTTGAAAAACGCTGACTCCGCGAGATTAAATATTAGAGCCTAACACAAAGCGGAGCGGCGGCGCACTGGCGCCTACAAACCTAACAGGGATACTTCACGCATTGCGCAATGCGTGAAGTATCCCTGTTAGGTTTGTAGGCGCCAATGCGCGTTCAGCGCTGCCCGTCCGCCGCGCGGCAGCGTACCGCCGCGCTTGAACTGCTTGAAGCAACTATTTCACACCAGAGGTATTGCACAGTATCATACGAAATTGAAGGCGCTCCAACATATTAGGAATGACAGGCATCCTTCATAAGTACGGAGCTTTCCTCGCAAATTAAATCAAGATACCGCGGCCCAAAAAGAGAGCGGTAGTCCAAAAACTCACTAAGTCCTAGCATCCATAATTAGCAACCTTTCGCATACACTTAATCGCCAGACTGTTGCTTAATCGTCATCGGCTATAAAAGGCTATAAGAAATTGTGTTGCCGGCTATAAAAGCTATTGGAAATCTTACAGCCGGCTGTATGTCTGGTATTTTGGAACAAAGATTCTACTGCCAATTTTTACCAGGGGAATGTTTGATGTATTCACCGTGACCCTCAAATGATGAGCCTGATAAGCGATAATAACCACTCCTTTCATAAACAGTCTCTTGTGGTCTTGTTGTCGAAATTTTTAATGGAAATTCTGCACGGACAGGTCGAGAATAAAGTCAAAACACGCTCAGTCAATGCCACGTCCGAGCGGAGTTCTCGCGAAAAGTTAAACTTTTCCTCCGCGCGTGCATGCCGGTCTCCGGGGTTTGCTCTGCCGTGCCAGGGAAGAACGCCATATGAACATTCAAGACTTGCCAAATTTCCTTCGATAAAATGTTATTTTTGAGGAAAGTTATGATTATTTTTGCTTGAAATTTTCAGGAGCTTCAGGTGAAATTACGAACAAAATTATCTGAAAAATTGGAAGGAAAATATTCATAAGTTTACCAGGGGATTTTTGTTTTATCAGAGGAAATTTGGCAACGTCTGAGGGTTCATACGGCGTTCTTCCTTAGCATGGCAGTGTTTTCCTTCGGAAGAGGGAAACACATGGAAATGGGTTCAACGAAGTTCCAAGTCCGATATCCGTGGAAACTAATCCGTGACACTCGCGTCGGAACTTTCCGGAGGCCTCTGGTCCTCCCTGTCCAGTTTCGCCACCTTCAATTACACCCGTGTTCTCGGCTCGCTTATCTCCCCCGTGCGGGTTCTCCCTTGACCGACATCCCGCGGAGGGGCGCGCTCGTTTCGGCGTCCAGGGACTCCCATCCGAAAACTTTCCGATGCCCGCTAGTGGCTATGTCACTCGGCACCGTGTGGAACTTCCCCGCGGCCGTCCGAACACGTTTCAACTCTAATTACATTATTTGGCTCCGCGCCGCAACGCGCACGGCCGCAGTTCGTCCGCTAATTCGGGAATTCGCTCGTCTAATGAACCGTAAGGGATTGTCCGTAAATTACGGCACCTGAAAGCCGGTCTAAATGGGGGCAATATTTTATAAAGATTCGGTAATAATGACTAATGACCAAATTGTTGACCGATATGTTTAATGCGAATAAGGGCCGTATTCATGCTGGATCGAAACGATCACAGTGGGACAATCCATCCCTCAGGTGATGAAAGGGCGCAACTACACTTTGAGATGAACCCGGAAAACATTGAGTTATATGAACGGCAGGGTTCTTCGCGAAGTACGGTTACGTCCTTTATGTCGGGATGCCGGACGAATCGGATGTAAACGCCACAAATCGTGCTGTCGCAGAATTGTATCCGTGCTGTATTCATAGCGGTCATAGCCATTTCCTAAACAATCCCTTTTCTAGAAGGAGACTACGTATGATTTACAGCATGTTTAAGGATTTTGTTGAGCAATTTTAACATAGCTTCATAAAGTAGACACTTTTTACGAGTTTTGAAAAGTAACAAGACCCTTGCGAGGGATTAAATACTACGAAATCTGAAATGTTCAAGGTAGGTCCTCACTTACTTTAGAGTGACAGATACTAGTAAGGGTAAAAGACAAAAGGTTAAGCAAAAATGTTCATAGTTATATCCCTGCGGATACTGAATTTATTATCGAGCCAATTTTGCAACATTGAAGTGGAGTTTATCGTCGTCATGGCCAATCAGCTGGTCTAGTATGGTCATGTGAACAAGATGACAGAAGAGAGGCTGCCAAAGAAGATGCTCGATTAGCTTCCTCCCGGGAGGAAATGAAGGGAACGCCCAATGAGAGAGTCCTAAATGAGAAGGAATGCCAACTACCTGAGGGACAGTGGAAGTGCAGGGCACTGTAGTGGTTAGGTGTCGCAGAGTACTGTGAAAGCGGTTTTAATGTATGTATTGAATTGAGTTTTGTTCCTCCGTTTGCGAATAGATGATGTCCTTGTTTTAAAAAAAAACTTCTCATGTAGCACTATTCTACTCATTTGTACCATTTACTCATAGCATGCCTCAGGTCCAAAGGATTGGGGTTGAAAGGAGTAATTGGGGCCCTTTTTTGAATGTGGATTTATTTTGACTGTTCCAGGCCGGAGGAGCGGACCGGTCGAGATGTGGAGGCGATCGGGGCCCGGCTGCGCCGGTTGGAGAACCTGAGTCGGATCCCGGGTTCGGTGGTTCAACAGTTGGCAACGCGCGGCTATTACGAGGACCTCGAGCCAGACATAACAAGTGAGTGCCCCCGCAAATTCCATCCCTGGCCCCGTCCCAACTCCCAGCAAACCCATTAAACACCTCCAAATGGAGGGCTAGTGGTCACAGCATCCTGCGATATATCGCCCAAGTAGCCGCAGCTTGCCTCAAAACAAGTCCTTCCCATCCGTTTTCATCACTAATTCAAAGTAATGGGGAGTTAAGGAGCGCTTTTCTGCACTAATTGAAAAAACAAAAACAAGAAACAAACAAATTGTCCACAACAAACAATCGTACCAATATAAAACGCCTTCAATTGCGTGTAATACTGTGCAACACACCGAAGTTCAAATAGTTGTATTCTTAGGTTGGAACCTAACTCGAGTGAGTTGATCTGCTAAGTAAGGCCTGTCAGCCTGTTAACTGCTGTATTTCAAGTCACCTCGCGTATTTGAAGCCCATAATTGCCGTAACAAAAACGTAAGCCTCGGTTGATTTAAAAAGAGAGGATTATCATCATTAATGCGACCAACGAAAGCAACCACAACCGCGTGGCAAGGCGTCGAGTAGCATCGGAAAATTAAGGTACCTCAAGTCGAGATCGTGCGATTGCAGTAATTTTCCGTGAGACTGTCATCTTGGCAATGCAACTCATTGTCAACAGATGAGCCCTTTTATCTGTAAAACTCCATACTTACCAGGAATCTCACTGGAAAAAAGCACATTGGATCTAGAGTCCAGACTCTTGAAAACATTGACAAGAAAAAATACCTTGATTCTGGTAAAATGATACTGGTAAATGACTCTGATAGCTGCTGAAATGAACATACTATCAGCTCTGGGTTCAGAGACTGTTAAAAATTTTGGTTCTAAGAGACGTATCTATAAGACCAGAGCAACGCTTACAGCTATTGAATCCAAAGTGGTCGTGCGTCTACACAACCCGTATTTACAACTTTTGAACTGGAAACTTAATTATCAGCATATGAATTTGAGTTTCCGACAGGAAATACTCTCCAATATTACAAAAAAATGTGCCAAGAACAGTATTATAGTGCATCTAGTTCCATTACCTACGCGTTGTATAACATTAAATATTTATTATATCATTTAATGATGCATTTTCTTGGAGAGAAAAAAAATTGAATTATCCGACTAAGTTATGGACGCGCTTGCTTCAGACGGAAAAACGCTCTGAAGGGTCTCAATAAATGTATATCCGTTCTTGCGGGGCGATGAATATATTTCCATGCTCAACCAATTCCCTTTTCTTCTACGAGTTTTATTGAGTGGTTTACATGACAATGGTGCCTGTTGGTTATCTTCATTGCCCGTTAAGGCAGCAACATGTGCACTCGCGGAAGGAAAATACTTCCGATGAATTCGCGATATGCGCGCTTTGTACGATGCACGTTATTACTTCCGACCCCCCTCCGCGATGCTTCTTCCTCTGTTGATGTTTATGAGGATAATAATATGATGCGCGCCAACCGAGTTCAAAAACAGTTACTCAACGGAACTCAATGGAGAAGTGTGCCAACGGATCGAATTTTAGTAACCTCGGTTCAAAGCTCTGAGTTCCATTTCATATCACAAACATAAAATACGGAGGTGAGGAGTAATTAAAATCTGTATCGATCCACTCCTACTTAATACACGCGGTAACAAACAGCACCAGCCACTCGTAGCGTATTTAAATTTATTAAATCTCGCTTTAACTCTCGATGGCTCTTTTTGATTTAATTCATTTATTTTATGGCGAGAGGAGTCATTCGCCTTGTTGTGTGCTTTAGAGGATACATTTTTTTTACAACTCTTTATATTTGCGAGTATGTCCGCTCCAAAGGCAGATCCAGCAATTTTGCAACAGCGGATTCTCTCCATTTAAACATATATTAAATAATCGATTCATGCCAGAGCACCTGGCCCCTCAAGGAATCGATACATTTCCATAGGTTTAAATAGAAAAAAACAATGTTGCCATTTAGCTAGATCTGACAATGATCCGCTCTATTTGCTGCCCTGATGGAATACCGTCGGTCTTCAAAAAGACTTATGGAACTCAATAGAACTCAAGGCTAAAGAAAAGAAAATGTATTAGGTGTATCAAGACGAGAACGCTACTTGACAGCAAGGTAGGAGATAAATACTAAGTGATAAAGTTAAAGTTTTCATTGACAATTATACCCCGATTTTCAACCGTAACATGAGAATTTAAGACCAGGAGGAGAGAATGATAAATAGGCGTAAAATGACAAACAGTCTCCGAACGATTGGTTCAACCCAATAGGGTGAACGTTGGTAGATATTAAAAAATTCTCAGGTATCAGAAATGAGGCAGAGAAATAATTATAGGTAATGACCATTGAGCCGAAAGGGCGGGAATAATAAATAAAGCGGCCACGCGAATAATTTTAGAATCCCCTTCTCATTAATTTTGAATGCTGTCGCATTTCATCTTGCACTTTCAGCCTATAATTAGGTCGATTAAAAACTTTGCCCGTAACTTTCTCCTTCGAGGTTCCGATATTTTCATAACCGGGTTTGGAAGGTACTGAAAGCGTTCTCCGAGTCAGGCAGTAAATTGTAATGTTAGGCTGCCTGTAAGCCCCCAAAAAGCCCTGGTAAGCCCCGAAAAAAGTTGTTGAATTTTAAATATGATAAACCTAAAAAACGTGGGTACTTAAGTTAGAGTAGGTTTAGAGTCCACACACACACAACTTGACCTCCAAAATTTCCGAAATGCGCTCTCTTAATTACCCATTCAGCAGTTTTTAATCCTGTAAAAGTTAACGCCTTTCAACGGATGAATTGCGCAAAATAGGAGTAGCTGTAAGCACATGCTCGAGAATACCACAGATTACCGTACATCCATTTTTGTAGATTATAGCGCAAAGTTCTCGACAGCGATTATCTTCTATTTATTATTTCTCTAAGGAAATAAGTTCTAGTTTGGGTGTAAATCAAAACATCTCTTTTGAAATCTACAAACATTTTCTGAGCCCATTGCTTTTATGATGCTGAAACTTATAATGCCGCTAATTTGAATATTTTGAACATACGGCCTTAAACTTCCTTCGAAGGTCATTTCAGATGTAAGAAGGCAACCTTGCCAAAGATTGTATAAACTCATTCAAGTCTGTACTCTTTCTTCGACCGAAAATTTTGATATATAAAGGGACGAATACAAAACGAAATTCAATATTGCGACATCGCTTAAAAAAAGTTAGTCAGTTAGTTAATTTATTTAGAGACATGCAGCATCGGGCTATGAATGTCTATACAAAGAATATAAAAGATGGGTGCACATACAGAAACAGTCCACCATGGTTTTATAGAAAATGAAAGACAAAGAAGCAATCCCGCACCATTGCTCGTGAGATATAAGAAAAACATGACAACAACTCATACAGCGTTGATATGCATAACAAAATTGGAGTACAGTTTGCAAATTAGAAATATAAATTCTAGCCCGGTTTAAAAACAACGTATGCCATTAGTTTCCCTATGAACATAAGTGTTATTCCAGATGAGCCAGAATTTATAGTTCCAAATTGCAAAATACAGTCCAATTCATGTGTATAAGTTTCTGTTGACCTTCAATCTTTTTAAAGCTAATATTATTTCCTGAAACAGAAATAGAAGGCAATCTGTAGCAAATTTCTAGGCAAAGAGATTTATTTTGTATGGGATTATACAACATTATACAGATAGCTCGGCATGTTTAGAATATGTTTTCATCATTTGGACTTCATTTTGCAAATAGGAACTACAATTTCTGACTCATTTGTATAAGCACTTAATTGACGTAGAGATACTGATGTCGCCTGCGTCGTTTAGTGAGCTGGAAACCGCTTATCATAATTACAAAATGCGGCTCATTCATTGAAAATTAATTAAAACTTTTTAATCGAAGAAACGTTTTTCTTTTGAGCTTAATTTGTAACTCGTTTCTAAATTATCAAAAATATGCCAGAAGTTCTTATTTTTGTACTAAATGGAAAACCTCATTTTACTCTACAAAAATTTCATTTCACGTCAATACCTCAGAGAAAAAGGATAGCTGGCTCAAATTTCTGAAAAATCAAGTTTTTGTTCTCCAATAACGGTTCCATGTGTGAAAAAATATTTTGTAGCTGGTCCAGCGCAGCATCGGTTCTGAGATACGAAATCTCAAAAATTGCCACTTAAATCATACTGGAATCATTGCTGCAGCCGACCCATTGTTTTCTCCTTGATATCTTGAATTGGCTGAAATGAAGCTGGGTACCTTTCCGCGCTGAGGCATCGACAAATTTTAGCACAAACCTCATATTATTGAACTTTTGACTCTTCTTGGAAGCTGTGTTGAGGGTTGAAATAATCCTATCGGGTGATTGATGGTATTCCCGATATGCATTAATAAAGTTACCGGAATTAATTAACGCTTGGAACTTTGCCGGGTCCCCAGCTTCCTGTCCTTTCCGGGAACTTCTCTTACGAAGCTAGAAGGTAGCTTGTACGCTTGTACTGCTCATTCCTCAAGAATTTATAGTCGTTCTGGCTTAACTTTGGTAGGTGCTGACGTGATGTTTACACGGCGACGCTTGTGGTTGAAACTAGGTATCTAGTCCTGCGCAAAGACGCTTGGTTTCGTAAATCGACAGAGTCAGTATGATTTAAATTTTGAAGTCATAGTTGGTGAGAGAGGACTTACAAGACACGAGCAAGATACGAGAGCGGAGGATATATCGTATTTTATGAATGATATGATAGTGAGCCATCATGTTGAGCGATAAAATAAAACTGACGAAAAGCGTGACTTGCAATTTCAAGGGTTCAGACTTGGAACAATAACCCAAGGAGACGGTTTTGGAAGATTATGAAAAAAGACCTCAATTCTCCGGTAAATGTACCTTTCAGATGGTCATGACATCAGTAACCAGAGGCAAAAGAAGGCATTTGATTTGATCATAGTAAAAGAGGATGTCATATTGCATACGGCAAGAACGCACGATATTACCTGATACCTGTAACGAGACGATAATACTTACTTGAGT